TTTGTGGTGAAAAAAGGTTCTTCAGATTATAAAAAGGTAAGAAAGAGATGGTTCTTTAAAGAACCTTTGACTGAATGGTTCTTTGTGGAACCAAAAATGGTTCTTCTATGGCATCGCTTGAAGAACCTTTTGAAGCACCTTTATTTTTAAGAGTGTATGTAAATGTACCACCTTAAAATGTACCATAAAAACAAGTCTCAGGGTTTAAATTCATTCAATTTGGTCTGTTAGTGTTAATGTACAGCAGGAAGGCTCTTTCATGAATGTATTTGAATGGACTGAATGGAATGGGGAACCTAGGCTAATGTTCTTGCAGGAAGTTACTCAGTGGTCTAATTCCTGCTCATGCAACACGCACCCCTTCTCAGGAAGAAACAATATTTACTTATAGTTGTTTCTCTGTGTGGTCAAATAATAACAATAACACTGATGCTAAAAAAAGATCCAAGTTAATAATCTCCTCCCATGTTTTGAGCCAGTGTTTCCGGGCTTGTATTACTTGTGTGGAAGACACTAATGAATGATTTGGTACTTGTGCTGACTGCAAAAGCAGGATGTAAGGAGGATATCATATACATAATATGTTACATAACAACACACACAAAAAAACGGAATTATTCTGTTTTAAATATATCTTTGTGACATTTTTTCCATAAACCCTGGTTTATTTTTGACCTGGATATGAAGTTGTTATAATAATCTTAATAAATCAGATCAAATCATGTGCTAATTGTTTATGCTTATACAGTTTAAAATGCTGGTAGAAGTGAATTAGGGAGAACGACTGAAACCAGCAGTGTTGTTTTTGTGAGTGGATTTATAGGCCTACATCATGCTTCATGCCTCAGCTGCCTGTGGTTTGTTTCCCATGTAGGTCAGGTATAAAAAAAACGGAATTATTCTGTTTTAAATATATCTTTGTGACATTTTTTCCATAAACCCTGGTTTATTTTTGACCTGGATATGAAGTTGTTATAATAATCTTAATAAATCAGATCAAATCATGTGCTAATTGTTTATGCTTATACAGTTTAAAATGCTGGTAGAAGTGAATTAAGGGAGAACGACTGAAACCAGCAGTGTTGTTTTTGTGAGTGGATTTATAGGCCTACATCATGCTTCATGCCTCAGCTGCCTGTGGTTTGTTTCCCATGTAGGTCAGGTATGTCTGTGCCAAAGTTTTGGAGTTTCAGTCTGCCCAAAGGCATCTTTTTGCTATTGAGAGGCTAACTTAGGAGTAAGTTCACTATATAAAAATAGAATTTGTTACGTCACAGAGTCTTTGTTAAACCTGACACATCATGAAATTTCTCAGTATATAAACGGGTACTTATTAGTGCTTGACAGTGTTGGACTAGTTACTCAAAGAATGTACTATATTACTCATTACTCCTTTAAAAAGTAACAGTGTTACTTTACTTATTACTTTGTGGCTAAAGTAATTAGTTACACTACTAGTTACATTATTTTTCTTCACGCCCGACAGAAGTTGTAACGGTGTATCTTCCACATAAAATTCTTCTAGAATGTTACTAACAACATATTTCTGCCTCATCATTTGACCAAAATCCACTTTAGATCGCAGTCAGAAGTTATTACAAACACTCAATAGTGATTGATAGTGACATTCAAGTAGAAGTGTTGTATTAATCTCATTAATTGTCATGTGTACCTTGAAGCTAATTGTAATTTCTCTGTTACCCATATAGGATTATATTTCATTATGTATTTTATCAAATCACATAAGTTTGTAAGAAACTGTTTAATTTTCCAAAAAGATTTTTAATTGTAGTAATATAATGTACCACATGCTGATCAGAGGGATGTGGATAGGATGTAATGCCAGAATAAAGTAAAGCCAAACTTACACAACAGTGTTCGATCTGAACATGATGATCTATCTTTTTTCCTGACAAAATCAATATAATGCAATATTTCTATCTGCTGAATGTAAGCTTTTCCATATTCCAAGCTTGCCTGCTGCACTGGGGACATCACATGCATGTGCGAGTCATGAAAATTATGAAAATAAATCTAAGAATGATTTGATTGTTGGATTTTAAATCAGCGGGGTTGAGGCATCAAAAGTAACTAAGCTGTTTTATGGATGATAACTGTAATATTATTACTGAAATCTTATTAGTAATCTTATTATTACAGTAACTAAATTACTAGTAACTAGTTACTGCCCAACACTGGTGCTTGATTTAAATACATCTGATCTGTTGAAATGCAGATTATTGTGGAAACCCTGAATGCTTGCCTGCATACCAATAACTGCTACTGTTTTGTATTATTAAAGCAACTGTGAAGTCATACAGGTTTGAAACAACATGAGGATGAGTAAATGTTTTGAATTTCCAATATATTATTTTGATATTCCTTCCATCCATTGAAGGTCCACACAACCAAAATGTTCACGTATAAAAATTGCAAACATACATCATAAAAGTAATCCAAATGAGTCAATAATAAGAGACACAAATGTTTTATATGATAACCAGATTTAATTTAGGCTTTTATTTATATGTAAACATTAATAAACACTCATAAATAGATAACAAAAATGAACGAATGAACGAACAAATTAATATGGTAAAGTATAGTACAACAAGTAGGTTGAACTACTCTTACGATGTCTTTTTGTACTAACTGATGCATGTTTGGTTGTGTGGACTGTCAACTTGATATACAAAAATGATGATAGAATATTTACAACATTTTCATATACATTCTGAAGATGAATGAGAGTTTTATGGGTTTGGAATGACATCAGGATGAGTAAATGATGACAGAATTGTAATTTTTGGGTGAGGTATTTGTCTAAACAACAGTGATGCTGATAAACATTCTTACCAAATAGGAATACATTTTTATTAGATTTTTTTTGGTATACTGTCAAATAATCTAAAATTCTTGTTGGTTTTGTTTGCCAAGGTCATTCTATAACAGCAGCTATCATGTCACTGTGTACTCTATATGATCTGAGACAATAGATGATGTGATGAAGCCTGTGACTACGCACGGACTGAGTACACACACACACACACATATCGCACGTGCACCGACGCTATGTTAACACGGTCTGATATGCCGGTGTTGTGCCCAATTTTGACCCCCTGCCAAATTATTACCCACCTAGTTCAAATCACTACCTGATTACCTAATCCTAACCCCACCTCTAATCCTACCCCCTCCCCAACACCTACTCCTAATCCTACCAATACTATGGGGGTAATAATCTGTAGTGATGGCGAAGTGAAGCATTCTGAACCAGTGAATCTTTCAACACAATTGTATCTGAAAAAAGGTTAATTACTCGAAGCTTTTCAACACAGTTTATGTTATGGCCATCTAGTGGTCATAAAAATGACTAACACTTTCCAAACTGCTGCGTTTCATTATTGTGTTTCACATCTGGTTCTACAACTGATTTGTTGTTTTATTTTATTGTATATAAATAATGGTCACTGTCAAAGTCATTCATTTGTGTCGGTGTACTGGCACTAAAATAAGTAAAATAAATGAAACATAAATTCATAAATTAAATCCGTGTTCTGTCTATTTTAACTCTGCCTCTGTACAGTTATTTCATAAGCAAAGTTCATTTGAACTAAATATTTTATTACAATGTTGAAAAAAACAAAAAAAAAACAATGCTAATGCATTATAAACTAATATAACATAAAGGAAACGGCACTGAGGTTCGCTTCGTTTTTGAACCAGATACTGAAGCAGTCACATGATTTTCAGACGAATGAAGCTTCAAACGTCATGGATCATGGAATTTTGGCAAAATGAATCAAGCTCCGATACAGTGCTTTGATGTAAAATGTGTTGTTTTTTGATACAAGCTTCGGAGCTTCAGTGTCGAGCATAACATCACTAGTTTCTGATTTCTTATTGTTTGCTGCCTGCCTTGACCTTCGCCTGTTTTGTGGATTACTCTTTTTCCTTGCCCTGGATTATAGGTGTTTGCTGTTGTTTGTCCCTGCCTGTTTTGACCACGATTATAATAAAAGCCTGCACTTGGATCCACTACTGCGTTGTAACGCCTCCCAACGTTAAAGAATACTGAGCCACACCCGGATCCAGCGGCTTTATCGAGCGTCTCAGGCCAACCATGGACCCAGCACTCAGGTTAGTTTGCCTCCGTCAGGGAATGTGTTCCCTCTAGGACCACATTCAAGACTTTCTGGACATTGCTCACCTCTCTGATCTCCCGGACTTCATGTTGATAGATTTTTTCTGTTATGGACTAAATGAACCGTTAAAAACCATACTCCCCCATGATGGTCCTCGAGGGTCGCTATGTCAGTTTTTGGATTATGCCCTGTTGCTAACCATTTCCCTGTTCACTGTGGGAGAGGTGAAGGACGTTAAGACCCCTAAGAGTTTTTTAGGAGGGGGCCATAACCGGCAAGCTCCAGCGACAGCAGAGCTTGGTTCACTGGGATCACCGTCAAGTCCACTGATTATGGTCGCCACTCCTGTGCTCCCAGCACTCCCCAGTCCAGGGCTGTCACACCAGAGCCTCTACACAAGATGGCCATCAACTCAGAGTCTCTCCACAAGATGGCCGCCATTCCAGAGTCTCGTCCCATCATGGCTGCTGTTCCAGAGTCTCTTCATGTCATGTCGACCATGCCCAGTGCCTCAAGGTCAGTCCCAAGGCGTCCGAGACTGGCATCCAGTGTGGAGGATCCACCGCTGGATTTGGCCAGAGCAGCGGGCATCCCAAGGGCCTCAGTACTGGTCCTCACAGAGACTATTCCCCTGGACTCAGTGCCCCTTGCAATGGCAGTCTCCATTCTTTGTGTTTGGGCCACACACACCACTGCAGTACCCCCAGAGGTGGCAGCCTTCGCTGCAGAAACTCCCGAGGAGGTGGCATCCATTCCAGTCCTCGAATCCACTCCTGAGCCTGCTCCTATCTCAGTGTTTAGTAAGGAGTCCGCTCATGAGCCCACTCCAGTCCCTGAGTCCACACCAGAGCCCGCTCAAGTCCTTGAATCCACTCCAGTTCCCTGGACACGGCCAGGAGTGCCGTTCCCTGTTCCAATGACTCCAGTTCTCTCGTCACGGCCAGGAGTGCCGTTCCCTGTTCCAATGACTCCAGTTCTCTCGTCACGGCCAGGAGTGCCGTTCCCTGTTCCAATGACTCCAGTTCTCTCGTCACGGCCAGGAGTGCCGTTCCCTGTTCCAATGACTCCAGTTCTCTCGTCACGGCCAGGAGTGCCGTTCCCTGTTCCAATGACTCCAGTTCTCTCGTCACGGCCAGGAGTGCCGTTCCCTGTTCCAATGACTCCAGTTCTCTCGTCACGGCCAGGAGTGCCGTTCCCTGTTCCAATGACTCCAGTTCTCTCGTCACGGCCAGGAGTGCCGTTCCCTGTTCCAATGACTCCAGTTCTCTCGTCACGGCCAGGAGTGCCGTTCCCTGTTCCAATGACTCCAGTTCTCTCGTCACGGCCAGGAGTGCCGTTCCCTGTTCCAATGACTCCAGTTCTCTCGTCACGGCCAGGAGTGCCGTTCCCTGTTCCAATGACTCCAGTTCTCTCGTCACGGCCAGGAGTGCCGTTCCCTGTTCCAATGACTCCAGTTCTCTCGTCACGGCCAGGAGTGCCGTTCCCTGTTCCAATGACTCCAGTTCTCTCGTCACGGCCAGGAGTGCCGTTCCCTGTTCCAATGACTCCAGTTCTCTCGTCACGGCCAGGAGTGCCGTTCCCTGTTCCAATGACTCCAGTTCTCTCGTCACGGCCAGGAGTGCCGTTCCCTGTTCCAATGACTCCAGTTCTCTCGTCACGGCCAGGAGTGCCGTTCCCTGTTCCAATGACTCCAGTTCTCTCGTCACGGCCAGGAGTGCCGTTCCCTGTTCCAATGACTCCAGTTCTCTCGTCACGGCCAGGAGTGCCGTTCCCTGTTCCAATGACTCCAGTTCTCTCGTCACGGCCAGGAGTGCCGTTCCCTGTTCCAATGACTCCAGTTCTCTCGTCACGGCCAGGAGTGCCGTTCCCTGTTCCAATGACTCCAGTTCTCTCGTCACGGCCAGGAGTGCCGTTCCCTGTTCCAATGACTCCAGTTCTCTCGTCACGGCCAGGAGTGCCGTTCCCTGTTCCAATGACTCCAGTTCTCTCGTCACGGCCAGGAGTGCCGTTCCCTGTTCCAATGACTCCAGTTCTCTCGTCACGGCCAGGAGTGCCGTTCCCTGTTCCAATGACTCCAGTTCTCTCGTCACGGCCAGGAGTGCCGTTCCCTGTTCCAGTGACTCCAGTTCCCTCGTCATGGCCAGGAGTGTCGTTTCTTGTTCCAATTACTCTTCTGAGTCCAGCTCCTCCTGAGGTGGCAGTTTGCGCAGCTGAATCTCCTGAAGTGGCGGCGTCTGCTTCAGCTCCTCCAGAGGCAGCGGTGTCCGCCTGTGAACTCTCTGCCTGTCCAGCCACGGCCAAGGAAGCTGTTTATGAACCCTCTGCCTGTCCTGTTTCCGCCAAAGAGGCCATTTCTAAACCCTCAGTCTGTCCTTTTATGGCTAAGAAGGCCGTTTCTGAACTCTCAGTCTGTCCTGTTCCGACCAAGGAGGTCTATTCTGAACTCTCTTCCTGTCCAGTCACGGCTATGGAGGCCGCCTGTGAAATCTCTTCCTGTCCTGTTATGGCCATGGTGGCTGTCTCTGAACTCTCTGACTGTCCTGTCATGGCCATGGAGGCAGTCTATGAACTCCCGTCCTGTCCTGAACCAGCCAGGGATGCCACTAATGAACTGTCCACCCATCATGTTAAGGCCGCTGTTAACCTCTCTGTGCCTTTTGTTTAAGTCATGCCAGATCCACCATGGTGTTCTCCTACCCTTATCTGGTGGTCTTCTGCTCCGCCCAGTTCGTCAGCTCCGCCATGGTGGTCTTCTGCTCTGCTGTGGTGGTCATCTGCGCCGCAGTGGGGGTATTCGATCCCATCTGCTCTGCTGTGGTGGTCATCTGCTCCTCTGTGGGGATCTTCAGTCCTGTCTGCTCTGCCCTGGTGGTTTCCTGCTCCGCCCTGGCTTCCTGCTCTGCCGGCTCCGCTCTGGCACCCTGCTCCTCCGGCTTTGCCACAGTCCCCAGTTCCCCCACTTCCACATGGACCTGGTTCTCCATCCCTCCCCCTGTCCCGCCCCTGCTCTACCTCCCTCCTGGACTAATTTCTGTTCTCTTTGAAAGTGTCTGGAAGCCGCTCCTTAAGGCTCCTTAAGGGTGTGGATCTGTCACGATCTCCAGCTGGAGTGCCCATGAGCTCCACCAGATGGCACTCCACCCCTGACTCTTGCCACTCTCACAGACTACATTTCCCATAATCCTTTGCTGGACTCATCATCACTTATTGCATTAACCTGTGTCTTGTTACCTCCATCAGCCTCACCCTATTTATAGCCTGGTTATCCACACATTCATTGCTCAGTATTGTCTAGCCTGTAGCGTTTCCTAGTTCCCATGTTTCCTGTGTTTTCCTGGTTCCTTGTTGCCTTGCTGCCTTGCCTTGTTTTTGACCCTGGACTATTTCTGATTTCTTATTGTTTGCTGCCTGTCCTGACCTTCACCTGTTTTGTGGATTACTCTTTTGTCTCGCCCTGGATTATACCTGCTTGCTGTTGTTTGACCCTGCCTGTTTTGACCACAATTCTAATCAAAGCCTGCATTTGGATCCACTGCTGCGTTGTTATGCCTCCCAAAGTTACAGCAATATGCTTACAAAATCTTTAACACATTTTTTTTTAATTAAGGGTGAAGATGTCAAATTTCCTAGGCCGGCATCCCTTTTGGCCACTACTATATGGCAGTTCTTTGACTTTCCAACTGACCGTCAAGCCATGCTGCAAAAACAAGACACTTTCATGAGGATTGTGGACTTTCCTGGACTTGTTGGAGCCATTGATGGAGCTCATGTTCACATTTTGTGATAAGTTTGCACAATGCAAAGCATTTTTTTTTAAATATAAATTTAAGTATTAAAATATTTCAGTGTCTTAATTAAATGATTTTATTGTAGTTACATTAAATGATTAGTGTTGTGCTGCTGTGACTTCACATGAGCATGCTTTCTATTGGCTGTTTCAGAGGTCAAGGGCAGCCATTTTGGGTTGACACCATTGTAGTCCTTAGTTTGCAACACTTAAGTGTCACCTCTGTCAACACTTAAGAATCAGTCTTAAACTTTACTAAAAGTTGCTTTTAGTTTCTTTATAAAAGTCTCCTACTCTTAGAAAAGTCCTGCTTGTAACTAAGAAGTTTTTGACACTTAAGTCAAAGCTTAAGACTACTCATAAGAGCATTTCTGAGAAGTTTTCTACATACGGCCCCAGATCTTTTTGATTTAGCTGAGCTAGCTGTAAATATTGTACAGTTTTGTTTTGTTTATTTGAGTAATTTTCACATTCATTGTGGGACTGTCAACGTGTGGCACCAGTAAAGCATCCTTGAAACTTATCCAGCGGTTCCCCTAGTCACTTCCGCCTTCATCTGCTAGTGCTATCTTAACAGATGACTTTAATATTGAGCGACTGACCCACTTGGCAGTTCTAGTTTTAAGGTAGACCTCTGTCCCCCTACACAAACACATTTCCCAAGCCCAGAGAATTAGACTGCTGATGTTAGCGGCAGGCACTGATCACTGTCCACCACTTCCTTATGTTGTCTAATAGTGAATGCAGGATATCTGAGTAATTATTACTCCATAAGTGTAAAACAACTTTCTGGGGGCCTGTTTATTTCAATATAATATATAGCTTTAGTTTAGGTCTACACTTAAATGTATAGTTCACCCAAAAATTGAAAATACTTTAAAATAAGTATCATTTTAATTATTTTATTATTTTATTATAAGTAAGTAATAACATTAGTTAACTACATTTGTTAGCATGAACAATGAATATGTCTAAAGCTTCTATTAGTAATGATGCCTCTTCTATTAGTCTTTGTTAATGTTAATTTCAAAATTACTTATGCATTATTAAAACCAAACGTTGTATCTGATAATATTATTTAATAAACCTAAACTACCAATTACATTTTGTTTTAATTAGCTAATGTTAACAAAGAATTATAAATACAGCAACAAATGTATTGCTTATTGTTAGTTAATATTAATAAACACATCAACTAATATTATGTCAACTAATGGGACCTTATCGTAAAGCATTACCCTTTTTTCTATTAAAAAATATACTGTAGAAGGCAACAGTCTAAATGACATTGCACACCATGACTACCACTGCTTGAGCAACAACAAAAAAAAAAGACAGAGGCAATTGTACACATATCTGATGGCCGAATTTTCATTTTTTGTTTGAACTTTCTCCGCATGTTTTGGTAATTATAGTCTACTATACATATGTGAGGAGTTGCAAAAGGTTTTCCCCAGTTCTATTATCTGTTATATTTTCCAAATATCTTGCTAGCAGCCAAGGCCCAGTTCTTGCTGTTGTGACCATTGTCTAATGTGTCGAGTGCAGATTGGAAGGCTTCTTCTTTTGGTGAGAGTGAAGTGTGTACTGACGAGGTGCTGCCACTGTCCTAGTGTGGGGATTTCCACAGCTCTGCAGGGTGTCTTCCCATCTGTAGGTGTGTTTCAGAGAGATATCCTGTCTTGTGAGAAGTTTATAGTGGAGACACACAATCGGAAGTCCCTGTTTTCTTTCCCTCTCTTTGTTTATTTATTTATTTAAGTACATTCAGGTCTTAACTTTACAGTCATCTTAATTAATTATGAAATATTCTACATTCATGTCTGCCATCTAGACTTTAACTAAACTGTTAATTATAATATTATGGCCATGTGTCTCATAGGCGACACATTTATGTAAAAGGGTCTTAAAAGGGGCAAAAGGGTGTTAGGTTTAACAGTCTAAGACTACACTGAAATTTTGCAATTAAAATCTATCTTAAACCTGGAAATACACTGAAAGTTAAAAAATTTAAGAGATACTGCACTGTTTTTAGGTCACCAAAAAGTAGGCAAATTTATGATGTTAATCGTGTGGATTCCTTTCTACAAAATGAATAGCAGATTTCCTTGTTTTCATTGAAACATGCCAGCTGATCTCTGGAACACTATCAAATCATAATGGATAACATGATCATCAGGTTTTGCACAAACGTGGAGTTCATTTCAGCTCAAAATCATAGCATTTCACCAGTGGACTCAGACTTGGACTCATAGCCGCATCGGTTATCGGAGGCAGTACAATTAGTTAAAATGTGTCTCGGAGGAAATGCAAACTCATGCACCACAAGTTCATCTGTTGGTGTTCAAGTTCATCATAAGTTCTAGCTGTTTACCTGCCATTGACAAAATTATTATCATTTGATTATTTAGCTAAATACTTTAGGCCTGTCACAAGAATTTGTCTTTAAAATAATAGACACTATTTTAAAACACGACAAATGCCAATCATATATTTCACTTTACCTAGCATACATAGCTTAATCCATAGGACTTACACAGCTGGGTACAGCAACTAAAAATAGCATGCAGAGGAAGTGGTTGTTGTTCCTGTTACAGTACTTAGAACTCAGAAGTGTGTCTAGTCCAGATGAAGTCACTCTTTGAAAAGAACTGTTTGCATTTGTCAGATTTTAAAGTTGAGTGCCATAGGCAATGCAGGGCTGATCTTATGAGGAGTTCTGTGAGTTTTCATCCCCTGAGATGCTGAAAAGTCTGCAGCACTGAAGCTTGACTGAGTATGCAGTAATGAGGTACTACACACACATATACACAAACAGTTGCAAAGAAAGTCAGTGATCTTGCATAAGCCTGCCATCCATTCTCCCTCCATCACATAACACACACACACACACACACACACACACACACAGAGCCGCTATTTCCTCCCATATGTTCTGTTTATCTTAATTTTTTCTTGTACCAGTCAATAGTTATCTTGTGTGCAGTTAGCTACAACAGTTAGTTTGTTTCAGTTGTTTTCGCTTGCAAAAAAAGTCACTAGTCTGTTGCGGACCATCAAAATAAAGTGTTAGCAGATATTAAGCAGACAGTCTACTAATAAGTGACATGTAGTTGCAAAGTTACTTATAGTTAGTTAATTGTCTAAAGTGGACTCAAAATAGATGTATTTGTCTTTGTGCATTTATTTATTTTGAATCATTCTGCTTTTTGTCTGTGAATAATGTAGGTCATTGACATGACTCATTTTTGTCTGCCTAATTTATTCAAAAATACATTAATAATTAAATTAATATATAAAAATTAATATATAAAAATTAATATATGCAATGACTTGAATAGACCTTTTTGAGCATGTTAATTTCTGAATTTAAATTCATGTTAATATTAGAACATAATGTCAAAAATGTCAGGGTGATACAATTGATAACATGGAGAATATATATATAATACAGATTGCTCTAGTCTACAGTACAATAAAAACATATGGCAAGTTTCAGTGCTCAAAACTAGCTCCTTAATTTAAAATATGAACTATTATTTTCTATCCTTCTTTTACGCCCAGATTGGAAATCGGGAGAATTTGGAGGTCATGACAGTTTATCAGTAGAAAAAAAAATTTATCTGTAGAAATATATGTAGAAATATAGATATATGTATATGTAGAACAAAGAAAATGAAAATACATGCTTTTACGAATTTGTGTTGATCCTTGAAATGAATACCTGGCAACCTAAAGACTGCTGAACGATTGATGGTATGAAGGG